TAACTTAAAAGGCAACCTGTAAAAGGAATTCTCTTCAATTCCTCCAGCTTCTCTTTACTTTTTAAAATCTTACTGATATCCAGCTTTCACAAAGGTGCAATCCAGGTCTCATCCACACAGAAAGAAGTGTGAATATGCTAAGCATAATAGGACAACTGGAGGACTTCTGTTTGTCCTTCCCAGAGAAGGACCTTTATTTTGCTCCCTAACCGAAAAGCGATAGGAAGGTCAGACTAGGAACTAGGGCCCTGGGCTAACCGGTTAACACTTGAGGTTAATGGGAGTAGGATTCACAAGACTGGGGTTTAACCCATTTTTTTGCTCTCTGGAGATAATTCTCAAGGTCTAAGCTTAGATGACTAGGGAAACTCAGGGAGACTAGATGGTTTCTGTACTGTCAATGGAGACTGGTGTTTCTCCAGAGCTGCTTCTATGCTTCTCTCTCTACATTAATTGCTAGAGTAAGAGAACATATTAATTTAAATATATTCTATTGGTAGCTATTACTAAAACAGTAATTACTAGACTTAGATATCAAGAGTTACATGCAGGAAGGGAGCTTTTCACCAAAAAATTGGGAACAGTATTTCTTTCTCTCTTCCTCTTTCTTCCGAATTCCCTTTTATTTCATTGCCTAGATTGCAAACTCTTTGAAGAGATTTGCAACATACACATATTACTTTCTGACAAGATTCTTATCTCAGTGAGGATGACAACACAGTTTTTCATATGCTTGATTCACCTAAACAGGCGAGGAGGGAAGAAGATTATCCAGTTCAAATAGACAAACTTGGTTTCCAACAGTTAATCCCTTGTTCTTCATAATTTATTTACCTTCAGTGCAAATAAAATAAATAGGAACACAACAATCTGATCAAGCTCCATAAAACCAGCACCAGAGTAATCCTGGACACATTGCTAATTTATGAACAGCTTCAGGAAATTCCCTGGTTAATTTGGTAGGAACTCCCATTGTGAAAATCTTTTTGGAGACCCCAGAAAGCAGCTCCTTGGTAGGTCACGTAGTGCTCCCCTTGCCATCCAAATTAGCTGGATAGCCAAAGGAAATTACTGATCTTTCAGTTCAAAACCAAAACACACACAAGTGTGCACTGTTTTCCTTTGTGGAAGAATAGATAATCAATGGCTCGAAGAGTGGAGAAAATATATTTGTGTTAAGACTAACTTCTCGGCTTGGATGAAGCTCTTCTGTGTCATCATCTATACTATTCTATTACAAGACTTTTACTAACAAACGGAGGTATTTAATTTATTATGCTTTTAAGCTGTCTTGAAACCTCTGCAAGAAAGCAAATACAAAAATGCATAAAAGCAAACAACTATTAATTTGTCTTATCTGCTTCCAAAATATTATTTACCACTGCAGAATTTGAGTATTTACTAAGTAAACCCAATGTCGACTGTGAAATTCTTAGTTAAAATTATTTGAAAATTTCTATAATTTCCTTTTCATTAAAAATTTCTAATAGGGAGGAACTTCACTTGTGGTTTGTTCCTCTAGTTTTCTTCCAGTTATCCATCTTCTTGTTTACTTCTGGCTTTTATTGTTAACTCATTCCCTTTATATACTGGGAACTTTGCTGGGAGAAGTGCTGCAGAAACTCCCAATGCCCCTTGAATTGCGTCTGAACATTTCTAAGGCAGAACCCCAAATTCCTGAATTTGTGTCCTGAATTTGTCTGGAAGAAAATCTTAAAACAGTTTCTGCAATAAAGCTAAAAAACAGGAACAGAGGAAGCATGAGGGCTGTCATTTCCTCTAAGGCCAGCAAGATAATAATTCCTATTAACACTTCCCAGAGAAAGAGCCCGTTCCAGTGGGTCATATGTGACTCTCTTCCTCTTACTATTTTTTGTGCCTGAAAGACTAGATCACTCAATTCAATATGAAGGAATTGGTTCCTGGAACTATCTTGTGTGGTATATGTGTATTTGGGACACAAACTCTAGTGGTTTTATTATGCATTTTCACCCATAAATTCCACTGCTTTACTGTATATCAGAGAAACAGCAATATAATTGTTAGCTTTAAAACAAAAACCACTATGTAATCAAATTGCAAATGCTGTATCAACAGTGTCAGTTACAGATAAATGACAATTCCTAATCTACTGTATTAATGACACCTATTCTAAAAGTTCTGTCAACACTGACAGCTAGAATGTCTGAATTATAGCAAAAAGGCATAATTACAGAAACACCTGCACTGTCTGAAAGGATTTTATTACCTTATTACCTTTACTGCAATCTAGATTTTGGGGAGTTGAAAAAAAGGAAAAGCTTGAAATATTTAATGACTATGCTTACAAAAATTCTCCTGAAAAACAGCTGTTCTAAACCATTTTCCAAAGTTCATCTGCTTTTAGGGTTTGTTTGTTTAATTATATTTGGTCTATGAAAAGCTGAAAAGATCCATGATTTTAGTTCCCTTTTCAGTCAATAAAAACTCAGTGGGAGAGAAGCAGTAGGAAAAAGAGTGGGATGCTTTCTCTCTTACAATAGTAAGACTTAGGATACAGAGGTTCAGTGCCTGGCTCTGACATAAATTTTCTGTGTGACCTCAGGCAAACCATTTGGTGTTTCAATTATGTATTTGTAAAGCAGGGATAACCACTACCCCAGAGAGGATTTGCTTGGCTAATATTTATTAACATATTAGAGGTGTTTAGAAAGTCATGAAGTAGACTTCTACTGACCATATACCAAAAATCAGTAGTCAAAATGACCCAGTGAATGCTAGTGTACCAGGCAAACAGCTCTCATAAAAACATACTTGCCTACTACCACTCTTCAGCCTGCAATGCAGATAGGTCTCACAACAGCTGTTTAAAATCCTATGAAGACATTCTACAAAGTACAATTCAGTCCAACAACATGCAGGGAAATGCAACCTGTTGTTGGGAAAAGCAATATAAACCCTGTAAGCATTTCTTAGCAGAGTGCTCAAGACCACACTAGCCAGCTGGACCTCCTTTTGGTAAACCATCAGATGTACAACAGCAATGAAAAATAAGTTAAGTGCAAGATTTAAGGGTTTTGCCTTGTTTTCTAACAGCTATCCAAAACCATATAGTCCATCCCATTCTTTTCAGACAACTTGTGCAGAAATAATGACATCTATGCCTGGAAACTAGTCCTCTCCCACTTGGTGGGTAGTGTACATCTCACCTAATTCAAGTGTACAAAATGAGTGCCTTGACTAAGACAATTTGCCCAGACTTCTGGAAGAGTCAACACAGAGAAACAAGTAATGCCAAGAAGGAATTTATCACAGTCTAAGTAAGATGGGCTGTTTTCTGTTCCTTTCTCTTGGCTATACAGGAATGTATAGAGGAGGTACCGACATTTAGGGAGACAAAATCTATTAAGAAGACTCCCACCTCTCTGCTGCTGTTGAGAACACACTGCCTCCCATGGCACACAGACCAGAAAAGGGCCAAGGAAATGGGTCACGATCCTTGTCAAAGGAAAGGTGATCTTCTGTTTATAAGGTTGGACTAAATAAAACATTAAAATGCAATGCCACAGAAAATGAGGCACATGTTGGAGAACTAATTCAGTCTAGCTGGAGAATTGACTCAGTCTATACACTAGTATTGCATACAATATTCCAATCTGTTTCTCAGTTATTCTGTCTTTAGTGCCCATCTGTAAGCCATATCTATATTTATCTCATACCTTCCACAGCAAAAATCTTCGAAACCTGCTTAGAAAGATCCTTTGGATCTATGTTTACACATATTCAGTGACACTGTTACTTACATATCAGGAATGGTAATACTTTTCAACCAAAAGGCTAGAAAAGTAGCTAACAACAAGAAAGTATAATATTTCTTTTCAATTATCACTAAAGCAGATTACTCTGAATTTCAGTACTACATTTACCTCAGTAGTAAGGTTTCCCTCTCTTGGCCACCACAGTATAAATGATGGTATTTTAGTGGTCTAACAAAGGTTTTGAAATTAATAAATAAATATTAGAAATGAAATCTAAGAATGTGTCTTGTTTACCACAGTTTATGTTGAATTTCTTTGTAGTTCACACAAAATCATCTTTTGAAAAACACAGTGTTGAAAGAATAACTTTCTCTATTACTTATGTTTGCTAAAAGACCACTCAAAAAGAGCAAATTATAACATGGACTACAGAAAAATAGATATTGATAAGGTATTCAGACATAGCTAGTATTCTTGCAGAAAGCCACAGAAAAAAATCAAGGAACATCAGTCAGTTTGGTAACATATCCTACTGATATTACATACACCATTTAATCCTCCCTCAATCAGGGAGGACTAATTAAGACTCAATCCTCTCTGGAGGTGTGACTCGGGGAAATGTTTTCTTCAGTGTTAGCCTGACCTAGTTTTACATAGCATCATAGGAAACCAGGAACATAGAATCAGTTCTTTGCCCTAGGTAAGGGAGAGCAGTCAACAGCTGGAGGGGCTCAGCTACTTATGATGTGGCCACAGGTACAAATGCCACTGGCTGCCGCATGAGAGGAGCCCCCAAAGAAAAGATACAAGGACTCCCTGAAACAACATCTCAGTCTTGGCCATACTGACCACCATAACTGGTCTACTCTGGCCTCCAGTTGGGAGGCCTGGAGACATACCATCTATAACGCAGCTGTCTCCTTTGAGAACACACACAGGATCACTCTTGAGGAGAAAAGGTAACGCAGAAAGAACCGTGTATTGCAGAATACACCACCTAAGGAGTCTTTCTGCTGTGCCTTTTGCAATCGGATATGTCTGTCACGTATTGGCCTCATAAGCCACCAGCGTGCCTGTAGCAAATGTGGATAGAGCCTTCCCAAATCTTCGTTCGCGAAGCCTAGCCATGAATGACAGGTACAAATAACCTTTTATTATCTTAAAAAGCAACTTATTCATCTGGTTCTGGTGGATTTCTATTGTTTCAGTCATCAGTAGCTTTCAGTGCCTCTCTGGTCTCAAAACACATCATAACATACTCACCATCATCTGCTGAATATGAAATATTTCGTCTCCAGTGGCAGAGAGGCGGTTTGGAAATGAAATGTCAAGAAAAGCTCCAGGGAGAGTGCTTGGTCCAGCATTGTAAACCTGTAAGAGAACAAATGAATACCAATAAAATTACATATATGACTTCTCATTAATGGGAAATGACTGTAGAATCACAGCTGGAAGTATAGTTAAATTTGAAGAAACTCAAGTACTTTGCAGGTTTTTCAATGTCTTCAGATGAAGACTTCTTTTGTATCTGTCAGGATGAAGTTAAAGAATTAGCTTACTTTATATTCTTTAGGCACAGCTCATATATGAAATAAGAAGCAGTTTTGCAAGATAATTACCAGTCATCAATACAAACAGCATAAGATTTCTACCTTATACACAGAGACACTGCTAGTACTATGAGTGTTTTGGTAATACAATCTGGAAGGCTGTAAGAAATATTACTGTCTCAGTTAACATTCTCATTACCATCTGGTAACCACTGCATTATATTCTGCATATGTTTTCCTTATGAAGCAGAAGCTAAACAATTATTGTGACTGTTGGACTGCAGGTTTACTGAGTGAGTTGCCAGAAAATGCATGTGAACAATTTCCATTCAAGTTTTGGAGTTTATAATTTAATTAAACTCCTGGTGAAAAACATTAGCTTTCTATCAATCCCCTTCCCTCAAAATTTTGACAAAAACTCAAAGAATTTCCTGCCCACCACTGAAATGTATCAGTAAAATCCCAAAATTTATGATTTTTTGCTGAAAAGAAGTAATCCATGGAAAACTTTCAATGAAAATAAGTTTTCATTTGTAACTACATTTTTTTATTAGGAAAAATATGTCCTGGTTCTTTCTAACAAAACAAATATAAATGCATACAGTAAAAAAACCACAAATATAAACGCATACAGTAAGAACATTAAGCCCATTAGAATATTTATCCACTACTGTTAAAAGATGCCGCAATCAGTTGTTAATTGTGTAAAGTACAAATATTAAAAACAATAGGTTTTCATTCTTTAAACACTGTTTATATCTGAAGAAATGTCTGACTGACAAAGAGAATTGGTTTGCAATGCCAAATCATCACAAAAACACTGAGGCTCCAGGCAGGGGGTGAAATCCCACTACAACCGAGCATGATAAATGCAGCATGAAATATAAACATAATGTTTCATGTGAGACACTTTAAAAACCTTTATTATCTCTCTGAGATCAGATATAAGAGTACTGCAGAAAAGGCATTTTCATTGTATGTCTTGTTACTTAAAAAAAACCCATGTAGATCTGTTTCCATTAACATTGGACCCTGTACAACTTTTCACCTATAAAAACTGCTATAAAGCCCCATATTTTTGTAAATCATCTCTTTTTCTTGGTTAAGAAAATATTACTCTTCTCCACCTGGAGGAGTTAAATAAATGCCAGGCAAATCATTTAAAATAATTAAGCAAAGAGTGATAAAAACAATGCTTTGCCCATTATGAAAGTCTGCCCTATCTCACCGACGCACACAGTTATGAGGCTTAGCACATTACTGGAGAGCACATCTGTGACTTGTTCCAGTATAATTTTCTGCTTCTATATGGAAAAAAAAAATAATAGTGCAACTTCTAAGTGTGTGCATAAAAGACAAGAGGATGAGTGGGACAAATGGTGGCTCTGCCATGAGAGAGAATCTCATGGATTCTCTCTCCCTTTCCTGTTATCACTTTGCTTTATCAAAAATATTCATCTAATTAAAAAATAAGTGTCTCTGTTCTTTATCTGGTTTTAATGAATAACTGGTTATGGCGGGAAAGATGGGGAAAACCTATAAATCCTCAAGAATGAAATCAGAATCACAAGAATTAACAGCCTGGTTCACAAAAGCTTTAATGTCCTAAAATCCTGCTTTCACTTCTTCTCAGTAAATAGCTAAGGGCACCACATGACAGTGGGGGCTTAATTGCTCTGGACCGCAATCTGTCCACAGAGGCAGACATGTTATTCGTTATAAGTTGAGTGGCATTCCTGCCTAGGAGAACAGAAAGGGAGAAAAAAGGTGAAACACTATTTTTCTCAATAAATGAACCTACCTCTGCATGACTTATCATTTTCTAGTTCCATCTAGTGGTCAAAAAGAGTTTGAAGGGCTTGTAATAGATACAGTCACATCAGCGAAACACAGTGCAAGTTAATTTTGGACACATCTCAAGAGTTTGTGATAATAAATCATCCATATATTTTGCCATGAGGAACCCATCTAACTGGCAGTGTAATATAGGTAATAATTGACTAATGCTGAGATGCTGTGAAATATTTAATTAAAACTTCTCACATCTGCCTCTTTAGTGTCATTATCTCTTGTCTGCACTGTACTCTTATCAGTAGTGCTATAAACATTTTCATACTGGGGCATTTAGCAAGTCTGAATCCCTTGCATAGGCATGTGTTTGTTCTCATGGATAAAGGCGGTCCACTCCTCTGCTCAAAGACCATGCCACTAAAAAGAATTACTTCTCCACTTTAAACCTGTGACTTCATCCAAGATGTGGCACTTGAGTAACTAGATCATGCTGCTTTTTGTGTTGAAGAATTCTGAAAGCAGCCTGACTCGTCAGTCCCAAAGTTAAACATTCAGTGTTTCCTGACAGAAACTGGCACCAGTAAGGATGTGGTAGACAAAGTTCCTGATAAAGGAACCAACAAATGATAGCACTGATAACTTGTCTAAAGCTGCTGAGCTAAAGGCTGCATAGCTGACGCAGGTAGCATAAAGACATATGATTGACAGTTGATCATTTTATACTATAAAAGCCCAGTTCTGCTTTTTAACAGCAGAACATACCCCTTTGAGGAGAGAGTGTAGAGATTCCTCCCTTGAGTGGGGATGTCCCTCAAAGTTACTCCTTGAGGTTGAGTGCAAGAGATTTGCCCATGGTTCTTGATATGGGTGAGTATCATCAATCTCTACTTAATAAAAGCTAGCTTTGAAATTATTAATTGAATAAATAGTGCACCATTAATAAAACTATATTATGTGGGAAATAATTCTGACTAAAGTATTTTAGTCTAATCATTATCATCATCAGTTTAAATAAATAATTTATGTTACTCATGTAAATGTATTTGTTTTGTCATTCTTAATTCTGTGGGACAATCTCATACAAAGACTCGATTACATCTATATAACCTTTACATATAAACTGTTGACCAAGTCTGGGGCTGGGATTGGATGCAGCTGCACCCAGACTCCTCTGTAAGGAGGAGTTTAGAAAGTAAGGGAGTTCTTTTGGAACCTCATGACTCAACAGGACGATCTTCCTGATAAAAATTGTCCAAAGCTTCCATTCTGCCCATGACTGTGATTCAAAGTCACGGTCACAAGTCCATACCACACCCAGAATAAAAAAGACACAAAACCAGAATGTGCTGTCAAGCAGGAGAGTAGACAAAATAAGGAGGAGTTTTACCTGCAGGCTGAAGTTGAGAGACTGGAAAAGGCATTCATGGTTTTCCAACTGAACAAAGTTGGACGCTTCCACAGAATCGCCATAGAAAAATGAAGTAGGGAAGACTTCTCTGTAAGATCAAGACACAGATATAGTAAGCTGAGTTTGTCACCAAAATTAAATATATTTGTGTCCAGCTGACTTGCACCCTTGCTTTACAGTTATGTGAAATTCTATGGGACTATTTGATATTAATCTATTGTTCCTGATTTGATTTCTTCTTGGCAACACTAGACTACACAAGCAGCATCTCAACTGACATGGATTAACATCCCATCATTGAAGCAGACTTCATTACTTATCTCTTCTTCTCCTTTCCTATCACAAAACCTCTTCTCCAGGGCCCCTGCCATGGATGATTTGTGCAAGTCCCACAGCTTTTGTAACACAGGAAATCATTGCGCTGTGAAGTCAATCTGAAGAAACAGTAACTAATAGGAATTATGTAACTTTCAGTTACATATTCACTGAAGTACATTTTCATAGCAAGCAGGAATAAACAATTAATTATCCAAGTTTTACTACCTTTATGATTCAGAGATGGTTAAAGGAGAGAGTAGAGGGGATATAACCTGCTTTCAACTTCAGTGGAACAGGTCAAGTTTCCTTAACCACTCTTATCAGCTGATCACACAGTAAAATGCAGTAGGATTTTATCAGAAATTACTTGGAAGTACAACACAGTACCTGGAAATCCTGCAGAAGAGGACTAGGAGTGCTTTAAGCATCCTTTGTGCATCCTTCTAATCTCAGGCTGTTCCATTGTCTGGAAACGGTCCTGGTGTAATTTCAAACGAACCTTGGTCCTCATCACTGCCTAAAACTCTGCTTCCTTCTCAGGTTGTCCTTTGGAGTCAGAGCTTTTTGAGACAGGATTTTAAGCCTGTTTAGGTACATTTACTTTTTTCCTGTCTCCCTCCTATGCCAGGGGTTGCTAGGGGAAACAGTGAGAGATAGATTTACTCCTCCCATTTACAGTGTTGTGCTAGAAGGCTTCTCCCAAACATGGTACAAGCCCTTCTGGGCTATTTATGACCAGGAATGAAGTTTGTTCCCCTAGATTCATATAGGATAAATAAGGTTCAAAAAGACATCTGAAAAAAGAGTACTGCTAATGTTACCATGCCTGGGAATGTTGTGCCTTCCAATAAACCCAACTTTTCTCTGTCAGTTGGACTTTTCTGTGAACTCGAATTAACTAAACTGTGTCTAAGAGAAAGAAAAAAATAATCCACATAGTCATTTGAGTGGGGCTTATAAATTCAGAGACCTTGTGCTTTTGATACAGGAGGCTAGGCCCAAAAGAGTTAACTAAGAAATTTGGGCCTGCAAACAAGTTACCAACATCCAAAACGATCTGTACGCGTTCTGTTCTACTTACTGGACCAAAGCTTAAGAGAATAGTACAAGAACGTGTAATAGGCCTAGAAGCAATAAATTAGAAATACAGTAGGATCAGGTAGACATTTAAATAGGAGAAATAGGCCTGGAGCCAGGGCCTTTTCCAAGCTTCAGTGACCGGGTCAAGAACAAAGGAAAGGAAGAAGGGTCAAGCTGAGGAAGATGAGTTGAAGCCCCTAGCCCCATGGAGGAAGATGGGAACTACCCCTCGGAATGGGGTGCCAAGAGAAGCACCGCCCCAAGCTCTGCCTATACTCTGCCTATTTTTAATATGTATTGATAGATGTTGTAATCGTTTGAATATGCATTTAATCACATCTGAAAATTGTATAAAAGTGTTGATTTTCTGAGGAGCCGGGGAGCAAGTTCTTCCAGCAATAGTTGGCTTGCTCCCAGCGCTGCTAATAAATACCTTTGCTGCTCAAAAGATCAAAAGTCTCTGAGCAGTTTCTCAGACCGGTTTTTCGGATTCACTTTAAAAAAGTACATTCTGAAGAGAAAGAAAAGAGCTCAACTTATATTATTTTTTGGCATGCAGTATTCTGTAGGTAACAAACAGAGATCTAACAATACAAATGAAAGCATTCATATCTGTAAATGTGAACAAAAATCCATCTGTATCAAAGCATCAAGAAGCAAGGGATACAGAGTTAAATTTCTGAAGAATCTGTAACAATGAAAACATTCAAAAACTTTCAGAACATGCTGCTGAGACTGTACTCTCAATATGGAGATTTTTGTCCTTGCTTTTTGTCCTTTGTCATCTTGTGAGGTTTGACAGTGCTTTTCATTTCTCTGAGCAGGCTCAAGCATACCTTTCATTGATTTTGAAAAGGATTTTATTTCCATGCAACAAGACAGAAATCAACTTTAAGTGACAAAACCCAGTCTAGGCCATGAATCTGAGTTTACCCACCTTTTCAGTCAAATCCCATGTCAGTGCAAGTTAGTTTTTTTCCTATACATCCAGCGTAGTAGTCAAGGAAATATTTGATTTCTACTGATGCCAACCAGCACTGGTCATTCAGACAATATCTACTGCCTGGGGGTTCCCATAGATGGTGGCTAAAACAGACACTGACCTGCTAGGGACATTGCTGATGAAATTTTGCTTCCCCAGTATGTTTAGGAATTAATATCAGCTTTCTTGGTCTACATGAATGCTAATTCACCTTCAGTGACCAGGTCCCCCAGTGCCAACTCAAGTACTGTTTATGCTAGATGCCAAGTGGAAGGGAAGAGTCTCAACTACGAAGGCAGGAACTTGTACATGTGTAGCCTTGGGGAGAGGACACAACAGCTATGTTTTATACATGTATTTCAATCAAAGGGTGAGTGATGCTCTCCAGTTCATAGTCAGATGCCTCACAGACTAGGGAGTAGAGGGAGTGGGAAAATGAACAGAAATAGAAGCAAATTCTGTTTGTGATATTAAATAGAAAGGCAAACAGCCTTCACCAAGCTCCTTGAAATCCTGGAACATTTGACCCTAACCTTTGCCTTGGTGACTCTCAACCCATGCCCTAAGGAACAGGCCATGGTTTACTTGTTCTTTTTTTTTTTTTTTTTTTTTTTTAAGGCCCATCAGATATAAAGAATCACTTGAATTCAAACATGACATTAAAATACCTACTATAAATGTGATGGTAACTAATTAGCATTAATTAGAAATATGTGTAAAAGAGGTACAGTGTTGGAATGAATAAAATTTCCAGATACCAAATGAGGCTGTCTGTATGTCCAAAATCTGAGAAACAAGGAAAAGCAACAGTCTGGCTACATATAAACAAAGAGAAGAATTTATTTTTTCACTGAAAGACACCCAGCTATTATTATTGTTGTTGTTGTTGTTATTGTTATTAGTAGTAGTAGCAGTAGTAGTAGTAGTGGTACTGATTTTGCTTTGGTGACTGATACTTACCCATTGATGGATGAAGCCACTTCATGCATCAGAGGTACTGACAGGGTTAGAATATTATCATGCAGAGATTCACTGCGTTCTAGGTTTCCACTATGCCAGAAAGGAAAAATAAACATTCTGCAAATTGACAGCATTTGCAATATCACACAGTTTCACAGCTACCATCTCTCTGCCTTGTACTCTGAGTCTCTCTATCTGAATGACGTCAGTTCCTTAAGAAGTCTTAAGAGTTACATTTGTTCACTCAGTCTTGGAGAGAGCAGACACATAAAGCATGTGTTTTGTGGCTGCTCTTCTATGGCTGTGACAGATCAGGCTCACAACAAAAAAAAGTATGTTGGAACGAGGTGTGAATTCAAATGTCTGTGGGAAATTACAGCAGCCATCATACAATGGAGAGAAACAAGGACATTCAGACTTTAATGCAGGTGTTCGTTTTCTCCCAGTCTGACCGCATGTCAGTTTGTGGGGGTCCCCCAGAGAGGGTCTTGACTCAGTAAATGAAACAATGCTTTCAATGTATCTGCATTGTACTACAGCACAAATTTGGTGCCACTGCAAGTAGCTTTTTGGGTGAGACCCTTGCACTGAACCAGCCATAACCTCTCAGTAGTTCCACCCCCCTTTTCCTGTATTTAGCTGCCAAAATGAAAGCGCTTCTACTTTATATTTTCAAAGGCTGTTGCCTCAGCTGGTCAAAAGCAGAAAGAAGAACAAGAAAAGTGAGCAATTATCTCTCATTTGAGTCACTTTGTTTCACTGTGAACACTTAACATATGGGAAAGGTTCCTGAAATGCATGTCTAACATGCAAACCTGCAACTATTCTAATTCTGAATGGTGAGTCTGCTTGGTGGGAGACAGCTCAGAACAATCTGGAAAGATATGTTACATATATTTCCCATTTCTTTAGCTATGACTCTGGAATCACTTTTGCCTTGCAGTTCATTTGATTACTCACAAATCAAACTGGCAAAACAAAAGATAGGATCATATTTGTTTGAGGACAGTATCACTGAGGGCAATAACATCCCAACTGATACCATGTAGATTATGAGTTGCTCAGATTACAAAAACAGAGCCTCCTGGCACATACATGCATAGATACAGTTCAGCTTTTTGCAACTGACACACTGGCCATGTCTGCTAAGAAAACTATGGCCCAGACAGCAAAACCCACAAACATTCGGTCCTGGAAAAAAAATCAGTTAATAAAAGCTCTTCCTCTGAATAGGCTTACAGAAGAGTCCAAAATGGAGACATTTCTCATCCAATACAAATATTGATATACCATGGTGACAAACAGAATAGGCAAGTAGAATTCTATACAGCGTTCATGGATATGTTCTTATCTGTTTCTAATGGAGTTAAGGTACTGTCAGAAAAGAAGAATACAACTCAGTCAATTTAGCTCTAGAAAAACAGTAATCACCTGGAAGCAAAGAAGAGGGTTTGGGGTTTTATTGTGGTTTGTTGTTTTAGTTTTGGGGTTTTTTTTAACAAATAGTGTAAAAGCAATGTAATGCAATGTTAAGTTCTTTCTCCAATTGATCTGTCCCACTACTGAACCAGTCTCTTGTTATAGATGCTACTGCCAAATTTGCAGCTTCAAGGCACAGGCTTACATGGCCACTTGGATGGCAAAACTTGCTTTCCCACAACACTGTGACATAGCTTCTCTGTGTCCAGCCATTTCTGTCACACCAGCTCCAGTTTTGTGTGGAAACAATGTCCTCACTCATTGCAGCCTGGTCACAGCACAGGCACCTCCTCTCCATTTCTTTATCATTGACTTTACCTCAGGCCTTCCTGCAACTCTTGTTACACTTATTTGACAGCAAGGGAATTGAGCAATTTGCCCAAAGTCACAGAGAAAATGAGGGTAATCAGCACTGAGGCCTGCATTGCTGTCTTTGGAGGTTCAGCTGAATCCTTCCAAACTGTCACCCTGCTCAAACTTCTGGAATAAGAAACTTTCTCTTAACAACTCTGATCATATATAAAAATTACTGTTTATTTCTTTGCTCCATCTAAAGGCACTGACTAGCCCTTCTCACCGGCACAGCACAGAAATACAAGGAGTGAGGTTACATAGGGAAGCCCTGTGCTATCAAAGGCAGAGAAAATAGCTGGAAAACACTGGCTGGGCAAATTTAAAGCACTGCTGACCCATCTTTGCACCAGTTGGAATTCACCCAGCATGTACTGATGTATCTGTCTGACTGAGACACATCACAGGGTCACCTAAACAAAAGATTCACTTCTCCTCAGGGAGAATAAAACTTCCCTAATGCGAAAGATGTGGTGATGCAAGGTCTCATTTTCAGTGTTTCATACCAGCCCTACATGCTGCAGGATCTGATCCCACCTACAGCTGTTACTGTAGGGGAAGACTATGCCTCATGAGAGTCACTCAGCAGCTGCTACATCTCATCTCATCTCCAGCCGTTTGGAGAAGTGTGATCCAGTTTGGGAGGAGAATTCAGGCTGGAGATCCTGATTTTGACATGGAAGAGTATGAAGTTGGCTCACTCACACAGTAAGTGGAAGCAGGAACTAGTCACACATGCAGCACACCAAAGCAGAAGTTCATGGCCCATGTTAATGCAGCTGTGCATTGGTTCCCACATAGACCTTGACAGTGCTTGTGACTGAATCACCCATGGAGTCTGCTTCTTTGTGGTACATCATCTTAGGAGACACAGAGCACGTGTCACACCTTTTATTCTGCCCGAGATAAAATGCCTATGATGCAAACTCGGCGTCAACCTACTTCCATGCCTGCTTCAAGTGCCCTGGGGGAAGTACCCTATTTAGCCATTTTCCGCAATCTGCCATAGCTCACCGAAGATCCAGATGGGGGAAAAATAGACATGCAACTTTGGAACCTGTCAGTGAGATCCCTGACCATCTGACTAAAGCATTTATCTTTTTTGGTTTGCATCCAAGCATGCTTATTTCATTCAAATGCTGGAACAAATGGTTCTGTCTGGTGCTGATCATCAACTGAGCAAAGCTTGATACAGGGCCCAAAGAGATGGCCACTGAAACACAAGAGCCTTTCAACTGAGAGAATACAGATTGCTTCTTCAGAATTGCAACTGCCTGGCAAAGAAAACCTATGTATGATCCTATCTCATTTTTCAGGAAGCTTCAACACATGCTTCCTCTGCATTATCCAAATATATGCATTTAGCCTGAGTAATTTAACCTAATTTACTATACATATACATGCCTACAACTAATATCACACAACTGTCAAGCATATGTAATACACACTTCATACAATAAAGAATATCCAAGTCATCCAGACATATAAAGGTCCCCTTACCTTTGGGCAGTGACAAGGAAGGTAAGCGTTTCTTCCTGCCCAGACAAGTGGCTTGTATCAAAGATCACACTGAACTCATACTGTGCAAAGAAAAAGTAGTAGTTAGAAATACTGCATATTGTTTCAAAATGTATTTATTCTGAAACTTCACATATATTTTACTGGTCTAGTTGAAAAAAAGTAGCATATTTTGATACATGTATGAGATTTTCCTCTACTGCAGATTAACTTTTAAATCTTAGCCATTTTGCCTCTCATCAAATACTAGAGTTTGGTTTTTCCTTTCACTGAGAAAAGGCCTTTACTAGAATTGCCATTCAAAGATATTTCTTGAGGAGATCATTTGCCAGGGAAATAGTTCTCCAGTACAAAGGGATCACTACCTGAAACTATCTCAGCACCAATCTACATGTTTGCTGTTGAAGACATCTTTTAGGGGAATAAAAATCACACCACAGGTCTGCAGAGACTTGGAACAAGTGGCACAAGCTAAAGCAGCATTCAGGACACTCATCATAATGGGTGAAATCATGTGCTAATTCTGAAAAGAGAATTTAATTTGACGAATAACTTCTCCATGTAACAACTTTTCTGCCTAACTCCAAAACGGGTTTTGGCCAAGTGAAACAGTATCGAAATTCATACTAATTTCAACGGCTTACATTCTTACATTCTAGATAATATTTTGCTACTGCATTTATTTTTTCTATTCTGTTAAAAATATTTTTAGATGTTTCAAAAGAGCATGAAACAGTCAATAAGACTAAGAAAACAAAAAACTTTTGTGTTGGGTCAAAGGATATCCCAATTCAAATGGAAAGGATTAGCTCATGAAACTGAAACTTTCTGAAAAATTTCAGACTCTTTTTGTTTGGGTCATCCTAAAGTTATTCCCTATTTTCTCACCTTTCTGAGTTGGTCATTTATCCAGCTCAGTTTAGTGACAGAAAGAACTCAGCTGGATTTTTAAACATCATGAGAGAGTGCATCTTCTATTATTCAACAAAATCCTCTTTAAAAAATCTACCAGGAGACCATAATATGAAAAAGCCATTAGTACATTTTCATTGTAATTTGTATAAATTCAATTGCACTTTAATGGGAAAGAAGACAAAGACAAAAACAGAGTAAGGCAACATAAATAAGACAGAGGGTTCTTTTCTAATTTTCTACAGAGGAAATATGCAAGCTTTTCACAGCTGCAACTCTTGCATAATTTTTCAAAAGCATTTTATTGCACTACACAGGGCACTGTCATTGGCTCTGTATGCTGGGAAAGAGGACAGCTACAGTCTGTAACTGTGAAAGGCTTGGATATCTGGGTTAGAAAGCTAGAGAAAGTATCATTCACAGACATTTAATAGAGCAGTTTATTCCCAGCCACTCCTCGGAGACAGAGGTGAATGAACTATTACTCTGCAAATTGCAAATATCACAACATTACCCTAGAATTTGATCTCATGAAAGGAAATCCCACACTGCACTTGAGGAAATCTGATTCCAGCAACTCACAGGCAATGCCCAGCTCCTCCTGTAAGAAAATAAAAAAGAACATGAGATGATAGATTTGGGGAGAAAAAGAGGATTGCTAAGAAATACCATTGTGATGACGTATTGTAGAATACGTCATCACAATGGTATTTCCCACTATAGCATTGTGTAGCACTTCCTTACTCCACCTCAGTCAGACCAGTACTGGGAAGAAGACAACTGTCAGAACCTTGCTCTGAGGGATATATATATATATATATATATACACATATATATATATAAGAAAATACCACATGACTAAACACATTAGAGCCAAGGGATCAGCCCAAGTACTTGGATAACTCAGACCATCAGTTCTGCCCTCTGTTCATTAAAAGACAGCTTTCAAATAATCCAGAATACAAGTTTCCCAAGGTAGTATTTCCAGATACCAGTACCACAAAAAGAGAACTGTGTCAGGAGACGGTGATTAAGCCATGCCACACACAGATGCAGGAGAGAAAGTTAATGTCCTGGTGACATTCACTGCCCTCATCTCTTGTTCTGGTCCACAAAATGAATCATGCTCGTAAGGATATCAACCTTCTTTAGTGAGGTAATGGTGGCATAGATAAAGTAGAGGGATGATCCTCTTCTCATGCTAAACATTGACTATGAATATTGTCAATAATTCAAATGCCAATGGTTAGAGCAGCCCTATCCTGCTTGACTGGTGACTGAACTACAACAAAAATACTTCTGCTGAATGGAGAATATTTAATTGCTCCATAAAATAAGTGCCTGGCTTCAGGACAGCATATTCTCATCTCCAGATTATTGGGGAACAGTTTAATGCTCTGTCACTGTGGGCAAGTTCATCCTCACTAACTTTAGGAGTGGGATTCAACTCTAGAATCTGATATACATTTTTAAATGCCTACACAGCAAGTGATTGCTTTATGATCTACATGTCACTGCTCCTATTGTAGTCAAAGGATGTAGAAAACTGTTCAGCAGACCAAATGCAAGTGTTTAATTTAGACTGGGTTGGAGACCTCTCTAGGCCCTACTGTTGACTACATCATCACTGGAACTGTAGCTACAATACAAACACCGAAATGTTACATATCTGAATCTATAAATTAACTTTATTCTAGACATGTAGCTGAGAATCTCTTAGCAACAAGACCTATGATTTATTTGACCTGTTTTTAGTATTTACAGCAATTTGCAAAGCCCGGGCTCTGTTTTCTTGTGTACATTTCCCAAATTACTTCAAATATGAGTTCTGCTTTAAATACGCACTTACAAGTTCCAGGGGTAACATTCTCAGTTGTAACAAGCATATGTGGAAGTAGCTTCCTGAACCATAAACATGGGTTATAAGCATCTCTCTGCCTTTCGCATTCTGACCCAAGCACAACATTAGCACTTCACAGACATTTTTATTATTCTAATTAGGCATCTGACGGCATTCAGATTCTTGACCTTTGAACTGCTTTCTGTGATAATCTGAAAGACAAGCCTCTTTTATCTTCAAAATCATGGTCCAAATCAGGGCACACACTTCTAGAAAATGATAGACCGAATTCTTACCTGACTCAGACAGTGTTTCACTGGTTTCATGAGAAGTAAAAATAATGTGAGAAAATCAATGCCTAATGGAATGATACTACTGCAGTACTACTAAAATGCCAGAGTAGTGGACTCCCCATTCAGCTTCTTTTTGGATTTGTTTCCTTGCAATCTTCAGTAGGCTTCTATTTCCAGAAATACAAAAGATGGCACTGCTTAGCAAATGAAACATCTAGCTTCAGTAGTACGGAGTAGCCATCGTCATACAGTGCATTAGATTTTCTCCTCCATTTAACTCAAAACAGAAAAACAAGTGCTTCATGGGTAAAGTGTCCCCTTCACTCCCTTTTCCTCTCAGCAATCTGTGAAGTTCTCAGTTTTATGCAAGAGATCAAGTGAACACAAACTCTGAGGAGCTACATAACCAAATGAAAAATTTCACAGCTGTTTCCTCTGGAAATATTCATGGTTCTGGGTTATTCAACTTCCCTTGTTAAGTGGGGCAAACTATGAACTATCTTTCATCAAATCCCAGCCCGTGTTCTTTCAAGAGGAGTTTCTAATTACATAGCAGTCTGGCGGTAACAGTGACTAGACAGACCCAAGAGACTGCCTCCTCTCCTCAAGGCCATATCCCTTCAGAGATGTGAAACAACAAGATAAAAGAAAGAACTCTCATCTTGATAACAGAAGAAGAGCACTCCTTCATTTTGCACACTGGTGCCTTTGCAGCCCTGACAGCTGGCAGGCTGCAGGTTTTATAATTTCCTGTTAAGCAAATGACAGATAACATAGCATTGGCCTTTTTTTGGCTGTTGTTGCTTGGAAAAGTTTAATGGATGCAGTAAGATTGACTTGAACAACCTTCTGGCTTCATTAACATACCATCCAGTTTAATGATTAAGTTTGACTGCATCATACTAGGTCAGCCTTCCATACACTTATAAATTACACAGGCTACCCAGAAAACTTTTCCCATGGACTCCTTGCCTTGTTCCGTGATTAGGATGGAGAAGCTAACTTAATGAGTAAATATTTTGGTTTTCATTCACTGCTCACTGTTTGGCTTCAGGCTTTATTTGCAGTGGTCTGTTTTGGAGGGAGAGAAAATCATTTCTTCATGGGGTTTCCTATCATGGCCAGCTCTCTAACACTCTCTCTCACTCTGTAAGGACTAAATAAACTCAATTTTCACACTGTTCCAGCAGTCTTAAGGGTAGGTGCTGTCTTATCTTACAAATACAGAAGAGCAGTGCAAATCAGGGCTTACAGAAATTGTGGATGCCACTTCTCACTCATGTTAGGTAATAACGCTTTTTGTGAGCAATGCTTCTCTATAACAACACAACTCAGCTGAGAACTCAGCTTATTGCATGAGTTTCAAGTTTACATAGAAAACACAGACAAAGGGGTTGGAAGTTTCCCTTCCAACAAGACACTGTGAAGGTTTATCTGGAAAACTTTGTTTTCTTTTTGAAACATTTCATAGCATTTTATACTCTCAGTCAATCATATATATAGCCAGATAATTAGTCAAATAGCTGTATTATTACTGTATAACAAATATTGACCTGGTTATGAGAAATATGAAGCTCAGGCTGACTCACATCTGTTTCTCAAAGTCCTTTATCACAGAAAGAATAGTTCCTGATAATTATAACACGAGCAATGAAGCAGTCAAGTTCTAACTCCATTATAAGGAGCACAATGGGGAAACAACCACTCAGATTCTGCAGTGTAATACTGTCAAACATAACCACTGCGTTATGTGATTGGGGGAATAAGCAGAGGTGTAACAAATTGGCCTTACTTCTGGACATAAGTGTTTTTAAGTTTAAATATTATGTGTGGTTTCAACTGAGTAGGAAGCTGCTAATGATCATATTAATATAGTGCCTAGAAGCAGTGACTTGGGAATGTTGCAATTTGCAAATATGCAAAGAAAATATCACAAAAGAGGGCTACTTGCACAATCCACTTCATGCTACACTAAGCCGCAAAAGTTAGGTATTACGCATTTACCTACTATATCCTCTCCGGTATACAGACTTTATAACTAACTCCTCCCATTAGTTATTTGGAAATTTTCTGGCCTGCTCCAAAGGTAGAGGCTTACATCAGGTACTGGGAAAATTTTCTAAATTTGTACAGTTTTTTATTATCATCATGGATCCTGACTTAAAACACATACTTATACCTCAATAATTCCAACTTGCACTTTTCATGAGTAGGGATACTTTCCCAAATGACAGTCTAGATAAACATCTGGATGTTTTGTTCCACACAACAGGGCAATTATATAGAATGGACCTGCAATTTAAGAGCTTCTTACTTTTGGGAGATATCATTGAACATATGTCTGTTCATAGCTGGTAATCTGCTTCCTATACATTTAGCTAGCAAAGCTGGGTAACATAAACACCTCCCAAGTCAGGAACCTAAAATAAAGTCTCACCTCTCTGATGATGTTTGAAATGGCTTCTTCCAATCATTCTTCATAATCTCGGTCTAAGCCCTTCAGTTGTGCTATCAACAACTTGTGGGTTTCCCTAAGGTTTGGAGAGCAGAATTTTTATTTTGCTCCTACCCTTTTCTCTCCCCATCTCACAATTCTCTAAAGGCCTTCACTGAGGCTTCAAGGATATGAAGATGCACCAATTAATTTAACAGCTACCTCCTGAGCGTACTAATGTACTTTCTTTCCACAGCAACTGAGGTCACCAAAGAATGTGGGTCACATGTGCAGTGCAATTATGGATGCCTGAACTCATACAAGGTTAGGGATTTTTTTCAAATAAAAAGTCTGGCTCAGACTGAGTTTCTCTATGGCTGAGAGCAAGTACAGCTGAAAGTAGTTTAATCTTGGAGGCCCCCTCATGTGCATACAGCTTGGTTCTTCTAACACAAAATTCCATGAATACCACACTTTCCTCTAAAATGGTGCTTTCTTGGTTATTTTAAAACTGCAACAACACAAAGAGGACTAGTGGTATTACTGACTGGAAACTGACCAGCACTGTACAATAATTTAAGTAAAAATCATCTGAAATGACTGAAATGATGGGTCTGATCTACTTCAGATATCTCTTAAAAGCTGCTCTGATTATCATCCTCAAAAGCCTTTTGGGCCTTGTTTTTCTTTGGATAATTAGCAGTCTGATGTCTCCTTTGTCTCAGTACTCTCTGGTAGCTGAGCAGACAGTATTTCCTCCATGTTTCTGAGCAAGACCTTGCCAGGCACAGACCTTCCCCAAGTTCGTCAGCCCACTGCCAAAGGCACCATCAACTCACATTTGGATATCTCAGTATCTCACAAAATGAGCCTGCAGTTTTGGGGCTTGGTGTTCCCTCTTTTGTTCATCTGTTTCAAGAGTTTCAAATGCACAGAGTTTTCAAACACCCACTGCCATAAGTGCCCAACTTTCTCAACACTGCACAACCAGGGATCAGACAGGGAGAACTGTGCACAGTGTTGGGAGGCGCTGC